ACGTCGCGCAATTCGTAAACAGCGACAGGACCGGTTGTCTTACGCGCATCTAGAACGCGTTTTGATCTCTCTTTTGTACTCATACGGGTGATCATAGTCTCACTGTCAGGAATGGCAAATGATTGGCGGATTTATTCACCAATCCACTTAAACTCCGGATCGTCCCACCATGGGAAAAAGCTCGGCATGCCTTCGGTGACTTTGACCGGATAGACCGGTTTGCGCTTCTCCAGGAANGCAATCTCATTCGCCATTGCGCGGGCCACTGTCATCAGGTCTGCTTGTGGATGGACCGAATGGACCAGGCCGCCCTTCAGCGCTTCCTCAGCCGGAAAGACGCGGCCTGAATAACACCATGCCAGCGCTTGCTGAATGCCGACCAGGCGCGGCAGGAACCAGCTGGATGCCGCCTCTGGATTGATACCGCGACGATTGAACACAAACCCAAAGCGGGCATTATCAGAGGCAATTCGAATATCCATTGGCAGTTGCATCGTTACGCCAATGCCCACGGCGGCGCCATTGATCGCACCAATTACTGGCTTCAAACTATCAAAGATGCGCAACGTCACGCGTCCGCCGCCGTCGCGCTGAATGTCGACTTTTTCGGTGCGGCCAACTTCGCCGCTATCGGCGCGGGCTTCATAGTCGAATGTCTNTCATCTTGCTCTCCTATAGGTATTTTGGCGACAAGAAGCGGTCTCTCGCCTTACCCGTCAACCGTGACGCAGCGTTGCCCCTTTAGAATTCGTGACGCTTGTGTCATCTTCTTCGAAACAGACGTCGCATCCAGCGGCGCCGGAGGAAACGAGAATGGCTGAATTTGACTATATTATTGTCGGCGCTGGCAGCGCTGGATGTGTCCTCGCCAACCGTCTGACAGAGGACGGAAAATCGACTGTCCTGCTACTGGAAGCCGGCGGAAAAGACACGTCGATGATGATCCACATCCCCGTCGGCTATGCCCAGACGCTAAAGGATCCAAAAGTCAATTGGATGTACGAAACCGAGCCTGACCCTGGAACCAATGACCGCGTCCACACCTGGCCGCGCGGGAAAGTGCTGGGCGGCTCATCTTCGATCAACGGCCTGCTCTACATTCGAGGCCAACGTCAGGATTATGATGGCTGGCGGCAAATGGGCCTGCGTGGTTGGTCTTATGATGATCTCCACCCCTATTTCCTGCGCAGTCAGAACCAGGAACGAAGTGGCATGGATGGTCATGCCAAAGGCGGCCCGCTCAACGTCTCGGACGTGACTGAACCGCATCCCGTCTCGGATGCCGTGATTGAGGCTGGCAAAGCCATGGGCCTGCCGCACCGCGATGTGAATGGCGAAGATCAGGAAGGGGTTTGCTATTATCAGTTGACCGTCAAGAATGGCCGTCGCTGCAGCGCTGCCG